GTTTTGTGGTTAGGACAAATGAGTCAGCTTCAGTGTTTATTTCCCAAAGTGCAGGTGAGCCTTGAGGTTCTGCAACTGGAGGTGTTCAAAGTAGTAAGTCCTGCACTCCCCCACACTGTGGCAGGCTTAGGGCTGACTTACTGAAAAGGGAAAAGATTCAATGAGTGGATCTGGATCCTTGATTTCCTCCTGCACATTTCTCTGGGTGACATTCCTTACTTCATGGGCAACCACAAAGGGAAGCAAAAGTTCTTTAGATTGAAATGATGGATGGCAGAAGTGGTGACTATAATGCTTTACATATTTGGTTCTTCCAAGTCTTCCTAAGTGACTTTAGTTATTGTGTTCCCTTCACTAGATTTAATATCAGAGGAACAACAGTAGGTGATAGAATAATGAGGTAATTCAGAGTGCTCCTTCATTCCTTCTTTTTGATGGATTTACCAGGTCCTCTTTTTCTACCACTAACCACATTTCCTATTAACAGTTAATAATGTCCTTTGATCTTACTGAGCTCGTAAGTGCTAAGCATTGGAAACAAGTTGCTTTTCACAAACTGTATTTACCTGCATGTGATGCATGGGAGTAGAATGAAAAGAAATTTCCTGTGTGTAGATGTAACTGCATTCACTTCAAGTGTGGTGACAAGTAACTTGTCTAAGTAACAAATCTAAAATGGAGTCCTTCAAATGTCAGTTACTTGCTTTGATGGTTGATGAATGCAACTTATGTTTTCTTTAAAACTTGACTCATTATAATTAGCAGTTTTTGTTATTCATATGTACATTTTCTTCAAGTCTAATTCTAGGTTTTAAGATTCTGATTTTTCAATGCCATTTTCTTATAAGTAGCTAAATAATTTAAGAAAATCACATACCATGTTGATATAGAACCCTTAAATATATCTGTAATTGAAAAGCTGTCAGTAGCACACATTTTTTAGTAGAATTCTATCATCATCTACCCAAGCCTGGCTTACCAAAAATATTAGCCAAACCAAGAAGTGGCATGTTTTTCTGGTATTATCAGTTTCTAAAACAAAGTAGCACATAAAATATTTAGTAATGATCAGAATATAAAAATAGTTCCTACACAGAATTCAGGAAAAAGCCAAAAAAATATCATAAACCTATAGTAATTCCTCATTAAAATCCATCCTCAGGATCTTGAAGTTTTAATTCGTTTTTGCTTTTTTAAAAAAAGTATTATTATTCTTATTATATGTATATTTGTAGGCACACATGCTGCATTGTGAGTATGGCAGTCAGGACAACTGTGGAGCCCCTTTCTCCTTCCACATGTATTAGGGTTCAAGAGATCCAGGTCACCAGCCAAGCCACCTGACAGGCTCTCATCTTGTTTTTATGCTGGTGTATGGGGGCTGTTGTGACATCATCAAAGTGTATTTGAAATAAAATTTTTTCAAATGGATTCTACTACTGGCTATCACTTTTTAATTTAATGACACCAAAATGGAATTTATTTCAGGGCTTTTTGATGTTTTTAACTTACTAAACATTATCCAAAGTATTCAAAGCTGGTTTCTGCTTTTAAAATGAAGATGTAACTAAAAAATAACTTGTTGCTTTAAATGAGTCTTACAAAGGCTAAAACCATATAAGTAAACAATGTGAAAACAAATGATGTTGAAATATGAAATGTCACCATACCTCCCCTGAGTGAGTGAAGTAAGTCTTCTTCTCCACCTCAGTCTTTATGTAGAGATTTCCCAAGTAAATTTCTAATTATAAGACACTGTTTTCTTTTTTTGTTTGTTTTTTTGTTTTTTCGAGACAGGGTTTCTCTGTGGCTTTGGAGGCTGTCCTGGAACTCACTTGGTAGTCCAGGCTGGTCTCGAACTCACAGAGATCCACCTGCCTCTGCCTCCTGAGTGCTGGGATTAAAGGCGTGCGCCACCAACGCCCGGCAAGACACTGTTTTCTTGAGGTCTCATATACACAGCTGCTCTGTTATCCCTCTTTAAAAAACTTCTGCTGAAATAAATTAGAAGTATAAAATTATCACAGGTATGACAGTTCTCATAAGGGAATGTATTGTATTTTATAAATCTGCTTTACTTTATTACAAATGCTACATAGCACATTCCCTGTTTCTTTGAATAATAATAAAGTGGTAGCTGTCCTCTGCTCTTTTAATCTGTGAGCTCACCTACCTGTCTGTCAGGCTGTGAATGGTCCCCACTTCCTCCCTCCAACCTTCTTCTTGGATGCACTTTCTTAACGGATTGGCCAGGCTGGAGTGGACACAGTCCCACAACTTGGTGATCGCCTGCATTTAGGAGGTTACCATTTTGATGCTGGGGACCCTGCAAGCATAGCTCTTGCCTCTGCCTCCAGAATAGCTGGCACTACAGGCACGCACTACCATTGTCCTGGACCTTCAGTTTGTCTTATACACAACTTCTGAGTCCCACACATGAATCATCAAATGAAGATTATAGTTGTAGTAAATATATAAATTTCAGTGAAAGGTGAATATAATAGTTACCTTTGTATTTATTTAAACGTTTTAAAATATATCAGTGGCGGGGAGATGACTCAGTGGGTGAAGTGCTTACTCTGCAAGCATGGTGGATCTGAGTTTGGATGCCCAGCGTGTACATAAAAGTTGGGTGCAGTGGCACACATCTGTAACCATAGCATATGGGTTGGTGGCAGCAGATGAATCTCAGCTGCAGGTCTAGCTGAAACAGGAGCTCCAATTTCTGAAACAATACAGTGTGCATGGTTGAAGGAGACACTGGAGAGAATAGGCCCAGCTGGACATTTTGTAATTTTGTAAAAGAATTTTTACAAATCTTTGATAGGGATTTTAATTTTTGTTTCTGTGGCAAATGTGATTGTTTACATTTTTATGCTAATTGTGTATGGCTGATTTTTAGAAATGCAGTTGAAGCCGGGCAATAGTGGCATAGGCACAGTTTTTAGTGGGGAAATAATATTTGTATTTTTAGTTTTTCTGGAAGACTTTTTCTGAGACAGGTTTTCTTTGTGTAGCCCTGGCTGTCCTCAAACTCTCTATATAGACCATGTTGGCCTCAGACTCACAGAGATTTTTCTGCCTCTGTCTCCCAAATGTTGGGATTAAAGGTATGTACCAGGTCCCAGCTTCTCCAAGACTTTCTTAATATGTAAAATTGCCAAGTCAAAGCTTTATACATATTTTAAATTTAATATAATTTTTTCAAAAATATTATGCTCTGGGACTCCAATATACTGCTGGTAGGAGTATGAATCTGTGCAATCATGTTCCCAAACTGCAACTGTTTACTGTAGCTGAACCTTGTGCACATACTACGGAGCAGCATTCACTCTTAGGAAATACCCAACATGAACATGTGCATGTATTCACCAAGTGACATGCCATAGGGTGATGGTAGCCCAATTCCAGTCATCAGAAACTAAACAACACAATAAATAAATTATACTTATGCGAAGCAATACTTTCCAGAGAAGATGGAAAGTGAACTTTAGCTATTACAATGTCAAGCTAAAGAAGCTGAGTGGATGCTAGAGAGATGCCGCACAGCATGAGGATCTGAGGGCAAAGCCAGGCACAGTGAATATGTGTCTGTGATCCCAGTGCTCCTTCCTTGAGATGGGAAGTGAAGACAGGGTAGTCCAGGCAAGCTCCTGGGCCAGCTAGCAACACTGGACAGGAAAAGGGGACCTGTCAGACAAGAAGCAACAGCCATGCTTGTCCTTTGACTGCCACACGCATGCCAGAGCACACAAGCTCAACAAATGGATGCCTGTTGAATTAAAATCCACAAATAGAACCATGATACTAGAGGTCAGACGAGTTTCCTTTGAAGGAAGAGAAATGGTAGGAGTGGGGCTTGGGAGATTTGTGGATATCTGATGATGCTGTTTCCCATATGTTGATGCTGGGGTCAACCCGTTCTATTTGAAGACTGCATTGAGCTATGCCTTTCTCCAAGCTCTTACCATATCTGTAGACATAAAAATATTGTCAATCTGATAAACATAAAAAGAGAAGCTTGTTTATTGATGATACTATCATCTCATTTGTTTTTCTTACAGATTTGTATGTAGTTTTAAATCTTGCAGACTTTCCTTCTATTGTATCTCAAAATATGATGATGTTTTAAGTGACAAATGAAAGCTTCACCATTAGGTAATATTGGGTGTTAGGAGAACATTCCTTAATAATAAAAATCAACCTTAAAAAGAGTACTTTGTTCTGGAGTAGCTACTACTGCCATCAACCCCTGTGTAGAGAGAATGGAATCCGCCTCATTAACTATAAATTTCTCCTTTGGTATGAGCCATATAAAAGCAGACACTGCTTGAAGGTCTTCATTTTATCTTACTGATATTTAGTCTCCTCTTGACTAGTTTGCTCTTGGAACATCTTTAAACTATGTCAGAATATTAGTTACCTCTGTTACATGTTGCTTTTAGTTTCTTTAGGTTTCTCTTTATGGCCTTTAGAAAAAGAAACACTTAAAAACTGAACAGGACATTATTTTTTTGTTGTTGTTGTTTTCCTTTTTCTTTTGAGACAGAGTCTCGAGTAGTCTAGGCTTCAAAATCCACTTTGTAGTCAGTGCTGGTCTTGAGTTCCCCTCTACTTCCCAAAGGTGTAACTCCAGGTCTAGGCCACCAAACGGAGCAAATAGGATGTTTTGTTTAAAGTGAAATTGCACATGAATTTTGTCTGTTTGATTTTATAAAATAGTACTTTAGAAACTACTGTCGCATGCTATTTTCTTTACTTTTTCAACCAGTACCAATTTCCTAAGTGATCACTGAACTAAAATATCTTGTAGTAACTCAACTACTATGATGAAGTCTGTTTTTTATGCTTTTGATTGGGGGGGTGCTTTATTACAATAATGTGTTTGAAATATATTACAAACTTACTGTATTTTGATGTTTTTCATTATTATTCAGAAGTTGCCTGTGAATGTTCATTTTTTGATTTTTCTTTTGTGTGTTTTAATATGTAATACACAGACGCTCCGCTGTCGCCCGCATTCAGGAGTTCTTCAGGAGGAGAAAAGAAAGGAAAGAAATGGAAGAACTGGACACTTTGAACATTAGGAGGCCACTAGTGAAGATGGTTTATAAGGGCCATCGCAACTCCCGGACAATGGTACCACATGCTCATGGCATTCTTTAACGAGATTACAGTTTCATGGTTTTTTTTCTGTGGTGATCTTTATTGTATTCAAACATACTTTTTTTAGTCTGGTAATATATTGCAAAAAATTCTATATGTGAGTTAGAAAAAATTATTTTAGCTTAGAACATGTAGCTATTGCTTTTTATTGTTTGTTTGCTTATTGCCTATGCTTGCTGTCCTCAGAAATTTAGTATTAAATTTTTTAAGCTCATTTTACCACATTTTGTTATTTTGGAATGAGAAAATAACCCTGTACACGAAATCCAGATTGAGTATAAAATACAGGTACATAGCTGGGCGTTGGTGGCCAGCCTTCTGGAGGCAGAAGTAGGCGGATCTCTGTGAATTTGAGGCCAACCTGGTCTACAGAGTGAGTGCCAGGACAGTCTCCAAAACAATACAGAGAAACCCTGTCTCGAAAAACAAAACAAAACAAAAAATACAGGTACATTAATTATAACACCTTTTAAAGTAACAGCTAAAATTTGACTTTTGTCACTGTCTCTCCTTGCTTTAACTCCTCATCTGTGAAATTGACAGGAAAGACCGGGAGATCTGCAAGATCTGTTGTAGTGTTTAAAACCCACAAATCTATATTCCAGTACAAGGCAACAATATAGCTATTACTATAAGCCATTCATGTCTAGAAAGTGCTCTTTATGCCTGTAATATTACCACAAAGTACCTTCAGATCATGTTTTACCTTCTTGAGGGTCTAGGTAAAAAATAAACTGAATTGAGGAAATAATTAACTCTCCCTGTAATGTCATTGGTAGTAACAATTTCATCATTTTTAAACAGATACTCATTATTAATAGAAGTAACCAATTTGTATTTTGTGCATTTTGCCAATTAAAATTTAGATGAAAGTAATTAAAGGATGGCTGAGGCTATAACTCAGTGGTGAGTGCTTGCCTAGCATGCACTCAGCCCAGAGATCCTGTCAATAAGAGAGATGAGAACCCAAGGCAGGGAGTGCAGCAACGCCACCATGTGACCACAGGGTCTCCCTCCCTGCTGTCTCCTGTGAGCCAGAAACAGCAGAAGCAGCAGCTGCAGGGCAAGTGATTTTAAAGACAATGTCTGAAGTATAAAAGTCTTTTTACAGTCCTTTCACATGTTTACTAAACTAGTATACCATATTCCTTTGTCTGCTTGCTTGACTAAAGATCTGTTTATCGTTCCTTCTTCATTCTGTGGGCTTCTAACAGTTAATGAAAAAAAATACTTTTTGATCATGGCAAAGTACAAAAGGCATCAATTCCTTTTTCCTATGAAATGCTTTATTGTCTTATAAAACTAAAATGAGATGAGTTTTACAAAGTTCATCTATATGTATATACTTTTCCCCACTATACTGTTTAAGCCCAGAGTTCTATCTACTTGTTTAGGATGTGTGAAGTACGGGTGTTGTGTCAAATACTGTCTTCTAGCAAAACCTGCTCTGAGGGAGGCTTTCCATGCTTTGCCTCCATGTTATCCTCCCCTCCCCCCAGTGAAGTTGACGATGGTAACTTTGACTTGGATGTCCATGTGTTTCTTAAAATCCCTCAGATAAAAGAAGCCAATTTCTGGGGTGCTAACTTTGTAATGAGTGGTTCTGACTGTGGCCATATCTTCATCTGGGATCGGCACACTGCTGAGCACTTGATGCTCCTGGAAGCTGATAATCACGTGGTCAACTGCCTACAGCCTCATCCATTCGACCCAAGTAAGGCAGCTGGCAGCTTTCATAGAACAAGTACTAGAAATTGCTGGTATCATTCCTCAGCTGTAGTCGCTAGTACAGAAGTCTGAATTGTCCTACTAAGTACCACTAGAGATAGTCACAGCTCTACATGGGTTTAAAACAAAGCATTTACTAGCTGAAAAGATACTGGCAGATGATGGCTGTAGGTGGAGGGAGAGTCAGTTTTCCTCAGGACATGGCTCCTGGTAAGTCGCCCATGCTTGTGGATAGCCCAGACTCATGCACACACTGACAGCACTAATTGGATTCAGTGGCTTTAAAATGAGTACCCAGTGTTAGAATGGGGATGTGGTGGCATCTGGGAAAAGATGGAGAGAAGGGAATAGGGAATAGGTTTGGTCAGAACATTTTGTATACACATATGAATTCTCAAAGGACAGATAAATAATTATAAAGGTTCCTAACCTCAGAAAGAAAAGAATGTGCTTTTGACAGATATTCTAAAGAAACAGGTTAAAAGGTTTACTCTTCTAATATTTAAGTTTATAGAGTCTGGCATGACTGAACTTCTTATTATTTATTTAAAACAAGCCTCCAAATCTTTTTAAGACTTCATGAGTCTGAATTAATTTATTAGCATAAAAGAGAATTGATTTTCTCTTGCAAGTGACTGCATATTTCATAAGAAAACAGTAAATATGGCCGAAATTTGAGTGACTTCAAGGTGGTCTTAAAATTTTGTTCTACAGTTAGTTACTTTTAGGAAATGTTCAAAATGATAATTAACAGTTAATTATATAGAACAAAGACTGGAGAAATGGCACAGCGGTTGCAGTTAAAAAACGTACTAAAAACATGTTCTACCCTTGGAGAGTACCTAGGTTTCCCAGCACCCACATCAAGCAGGTCACAGCCCCAATTCTAGGGAAGCTGATGCCCTCTTGTGGCCCCTGCAGGTAACTGCACTTGTGTGCACCCACACAATTTAAAATAAATCTTTGACCAGGTATGGTCGCACACACCTTTATTCCCAGCAGTCATAAGGCAGAGGCAGATATATCTGTTATTTCTAGGACAACCTGGTCTACATAGTGAGTTCCAGGACAGCCAGGGCTATGTAGAGATACCCTGCGTCAAAAAAAAAAAGTATAGTGGTTTTTATTCAAGCTAAATTTTGTTAATCTTGCACCTATGCTTAATATTTACTTCTTGAATTTATGATGTAAATTTTCTTTCTAGTTTTAGCCTCATCTGGCATAGATTATGACATAAAGATCTGGTCACCACTAGAAGAATCAAGGATTTTTAATCGAAAACTTGCTGATGAAGTAAGACTTTTACTATACTTCTACTTTAATTTTTGTCTAAGTTGCTGTCTTAAGAGAAAAATCAGTTAGTTACTAGTTGCTAAATAAAACAAAGACATTCAGTTAAGAAAGTCAAATTTTTAATCTCAGTATTCATGATGCATAGGCAGATGGATGTCTCTGAGTTCAAAGCCAACCTGGTGGTCTATATCGAAAGTTCTAAGCCAGCCACAGCTATATAATAAGACTATGTCTCAGGAAACGAGTGGGGGAGAGGTCAAACCTTTTGAAAAAGAAAAATGAAATAAAAACGTATCTATAATTTAAATGTAAAAATCAGATTATTATTTTGCTAATTATAATACTGACATATTTTTAGTGGTGAGCCTGGCCTTTAACGGCTAAGCCATCAGCCTCCATGGGACTGACCTAGACCCTCTGCATGTGTGTGACAGTTGTGTAACTTGGTCTCTCTGTAAGATTCCTGGCAGTGAGATCAAGACCTGTCCCTGGCATTTGGCTGGCTTTTGGGAACCTGTTCCCCATGCTGGATTACCTTGCCCAGCCTTGGCACAAGGGGGGGGAGCTCAGTCCTGCCTCAACTTGATGTGCCATGCTTTGTTCAAGCCCACGGGAGGCCTGCCCCTTTCTGGATGGAGGAGGAGGAGTGAAGTGGAGGGGTCATGTCACAGCATGACAGAGGGAGGGGAAACTGCACTTGGAGTGTAAAATAAGTGAAAAATGTTATTTAAAAAATAAAAATATTGGGGCTAGAGGTTAAGAGCACTGACTGCTCTTCCAGAGGTCCTGAGTTCAATTCCCAGCAACCACATGGTGGCTCACAACCATCTACAAATCAATCTGGTGCCCTCTTCTGGCATGTAGGCAGAACACTGTATAAAAAAAATAAAAATATTGATTTTTTTTAACAACAGATTAGGAATACAGTGTAAAAATAAGTTTGATTATCATGCTTATTCATGCTTACTATGTATAACAGAAAGTATTAAAAAGTTCTGTCCTTTTAGCTGTGCATTGGTGGCACACGCCTTTTTTTTTTTTTTTTTTTTTTTTTTTTTGGTTTTTACGAGACAGGGTTTCTCTGAATTGTTTTGGAGGTTGTCGGACCAGCCAGGCCTCGAACTCACAGAGATCCTCCTGCCTCTGCCTCCCGAGTGCTGGGATTAAAGGATCTCTGTGGCCGGGCGTTGGTGGCGCACAGAGGCAGGCGGATCTCTGTGAGTTCGAGGCCAGGCTGGACCGACAGCCTCCAAAACAATACAGAGAAACCCTGTCTCGTAAAAACCAAAAAAACAACAACAAAAAAAGGATCTCTGTGAGTTCGAAGCCAGCCTCATCTACAGAACGAGTTACAGGACAGGCTCCAAAGCAATACAGAGAAACCCTGTCTCAAAAAAAGAAAACGAAACAAAAAGCTCTGTCCTTTCAGAGTGTTTTAACTGCAGACAAATTGATTGCGCAGCCTGTGATTCACCTTCTACCACCCAGGAAGCTGGAGCTAGGGTTCTGGTCAAACTCAGCCACATGTCAAGACCCTGTAGAAACAAGCAAAGCAGAATGAGGCTGGGGGGGGGGGTGGTAATCTTAATACATGCAACCCTCCGTAATTGTAGACTTTACTTTTTCTAGTTTTTCACAGGGGGCATTAGGACTGCCCCCCATACCCCAGTATTAATGGGTAGAGCAACAAATGATCATAATTTTCCTTCATTATGTTTTAAGACTTCTTTAGTTCCTAGGTCTTACTCATTGTCATTAACACTTTTAGCCAGCATACAAAGTGATGGATCTCAGTGAGTAGGGGTGGGGTGAAAAGGGAAAGGGAAGTGATTCCACATGCTTGTCATTAAACCTTAATCTTTCTTACTCCCTCCTTCCTTCTTCTCTCCCTCTTATCTCACTGGTCCACATCTTCCCCCGAGTGTCCCTTTTGCTTTCTGTTGCTCTGTGTGTGTGTGTGTGTGTGTGTGTGTGTGTGTGTGTGTGTGTGTGTGTGTGTGTGTGTGTGTCTGTGTGTGTCTGTGTGTGTGTGTGTGTGTGTAGCTCTGCATATGAGTAAAGACACAAGACATTCTGTCTTTGCGCTCCTCTGTTACCGTCTTGCCTTTGCCTCTTTTCTCTTTAGACCCCCTACTTCTGCTTACCCTTCTGTTTTCATGCCATACAATATAGTCTCCATAGCAGGAAAAAACATACTATATTTGTCTTTCTGAGTCTGGCTTAATTTCACTTAACACAGTAACCTTGTTTCTACCCATTTTTCTGCAAATGACATAATCTAACCCTTCCTTATGCTAACTTATATACATTTTCTTTATCTATGAATATTTAGACTGGTTCTATAGTTTGGATTTTATGAGTACAGCAGCAATAAACATGTATGCATGAGTATCTATGGTATGCTGGCTTAGATTCATTTTGGTGTAGTCATAGGAGTGATATAACTAAATTATATGTTAGTCCTGTTTGTAGTCTTTTTGAGGAAGCTTCACACTGGTTCTTATAGGGGCTGCACCAGTTTATATTTCCACCAGCAGTATATTCTGGTTCCTTTTTCACACTTCCTCTCCAGCATTTGTTGTCATTTATGTTTTCCTGATGGTAGCCATTTTGACTGTTGTGAGATGATATCTCAGTGTAGATTTTTTGTTATTGTTAATGAGTCGGGATCTCATTTTACATCTTCAACTGGCCTAGAACTGGCTATGTGGATCAGGCTGGTCTCAAGTTCTCAGGGATCCTCCTGCCTGTGCCTTTGCAAGTTCTGGGATTAAAGGCGTGTACCGTTTCTTGCAGCTCCTGCTGTAGTGCACTTCCCTGCTGGCTGAGGGTGTTAAGCATTTTCTTTTTGTTTGTTGGCTTCTTGTATTTCATTTGAAGTATTTTCTCCATTAGTTGTTTTGTTTGTTTGTGTGTTTCTTTTATTTTAGTTTTTTGAGACAGGGTTTCTCTGTGTAACAGTCCTGGCTGTCCTGGAACTTGCTCTGTAGACCAGGCTGGCCTCAAACTCACAGAGATCCGCCTGCCTCTGTCTCCCAAGTGCTGGGATTAAAGGCGTGCGCCACCAATGCCCGGCTCTCCGTTGGTTTTTAATATTTAGTTTTTCTGCTCTCTGTCAGATGTACAGTTGACATAGATTTTTCTCCACTCTGTAGACTGTCTTTTTACTCTGTTAATAAGAAGAAACCTTTTAATTTGATAAACTCCTATTTGTCCAGTCATGGGATTATTTCTTAAGATTAGAGAGGCCTTTTCATAAAGTTCCTCTCTGTGCTTATATCTTCAAGTGTTTTCCCCATCACTCATAGTTTCAAGTCCTACATTAATGATCTAGTTTGAATTGAAATTTATTCAAAATTAGAGAAGTGGTTTTAATCCCATTCTGCATGGGAATTTCCAGTTTTTCCAGCACCAGCTGTAAAAGGCGCTCTCCAATGTAAATTTTTGACATACTGTACAAGTCTTCCACTTCCTGAGTAGGTTCATTCATGGGTATTTGATGTGCTTATGGATTTTGCTAGTGTTGTGAATGGGGTTGTTTTCATTCCTTTCTCAGCATGTTTGTTATATGGAAACAGGAAAACTACTGGTTCTGTATGTTGATTTTGTATATTGCTACTTGGCTTGGGGCAAGGGGCAAGAGGGTGAACTAAATATGTCCAAAGTACAAGATATGTGTGAATTAAGTAAAGTAATTATGAAACCCATTACTTGTACATTGAATATAAATTAAATTTTTAAAGGAGTGCAGTCTCTGACCTTCCTTTAAGTTCAAGTTAAAGTAATTGTTTGACATTGAATAGCCTAAAGGCAGAAATAGAGACATTACACATAAGAAGAATGAAAAATATTCCTCCTAAGACTAGCTGATTTTTAAAACTGCTTTCATAATCTTTAAGACAAAGATGCTGTTACTGTATGAACTTTGACATTGTTGTTTAATTTGCTGTAGGTTATAACTCGAAATGAGCTCATGCTGGAAGAGACTAGAAACACCATTACTGTTCCAGCCTCTTTCATGTTAAGAATGTTGGCGTCACTGAATCATATCCGAGCTGGTAAGAACTTCTACTCTCTCATTAAAATCATTATTTTATTTGAAAACAGTCCTACTTTACAGAGATTTATATTATTTTCTTAATATCCAAAAATGAAAGCAGCAGCTTCAGAACTAGGATTTCTCTCTGTGGACACTTGACTTTAACCCAGTGAATTATTTCCTTATTAACTAAGTTTATTGAAAAATGGTAAAATGAAAACACAATACTTGAGAACTCCTTATTAAGTAATCTTCTCACAATCCAGAACTGTACCATAAGCCTCCACACATTGTACTGCTGGACGTGGTGGCACACTCTGGTGATCTAAATGCAAGGGAGGTGGAGGGAGGAGGAACAGGTGTCCAGAGTCACCTTAGACTGCACAATATGAGATCCTGCCTCAACTAACCAAAAACCAAAAATACGAACAAATAAAGTTTTGCTAAATACATTTCAATATAGATTTATTCAAAATCAATACTGTTCCAATTAAAAACAAATATAACATGGTAAGAAAGAAAGTTGTATTAGTGTACTTTCTAATAATTTTTTAAAGATTTACTGACCTTTATTTTATGTGTATGGGTTTTGCCTGAATGTATATCTGTGTACCATGTGTGTGCAGTGCCACAGAGGCCAGAAGAGGGTGTTGGATCCTCCGGAACTGAAGTTAGAGACGGGTTATCTGCTATGTAGTGCTGGAAACTGAGCCCAGATCGGCAGGAGCAGCAAGTGCTCTTAACTACTGAGCCGTCTCTCTACCCCGTCAACACTGTTGTACATGATAAACTGTGGTTCAATGACAGAAACCCAATTACAACTGATATTCAAAAGAAAATTGTATAATCTGTATTCAAAACGGTAGAGTTATTATCCAGTGTGTATTATGACATTTTTATCAAGCAGGAATGCTTAGCACTTCTCACTGATTTCATAAATGTATTCATATGTTAGGTATTATGTATCGTTTATAGACTACCTATTATGTATCAAATGTCAACTCTTTTTATTTTGGGATTTTAGGTTTGTTTTTTGAGACAGTCTTTCTGTGTAGTTCTGTAGTTGTCCTGCAGCTTGCTCTGTAGACCAGGCTGGCCTCAAATGCACAGAGATGCACCTGCTTCTGCCTCCTGAGTGCTGATATTAAAGGCATGTGCCACCAAACCCAGCAGATACTAACCCTTTAAAGAAATTAAGATTTGACTTTAGATTTATTTTATTTCATTGTATGAGTATTTGCCTACATGTACGTGTTCTCCACATACATGTTTTCCCCATGCATGCCTGGCACCTGGGGAGTTCAGAAGGAAGTGATGGAGACCCTAGAGCGGAATTACAGGTGCCTGTGAGTCACCATGTGGTGATGGAAACTGAGCCTGGGTCTTCTGCAAAAGCAGCAAGTGTGCTTAACCTCAGACATCTCTCCAGTCCCTCAGACATTAACTCTAACTTGCCCAGGCCATCCACCTGATAAATGCTAAAGCCTGAATTTGAAACTACCTTCCCCTTGACCTAGGATTCCATGGATAGCCATGTATTCACATCAGTACTCTGACATGCAAGCTCTGGATGATACACCAAAAATCCTTCTCTCCTCAGTTTTTATAATTATGTCCCCTTCCATCTGATGTTTGGTATCCTCCTGTTGTGGACTATTTACTTTATCTGACCTTAATATTTTCCAGATTACTTGAGGAAATGTGTCTGTCAAAATGTCCTAAATACCATCCTTACTGTGGTAGTGATTTTCTGCCATTGCCTTCTTCATAAACCGTAATGTGGTATAGCTTATCTTCATAAACCTTGCATTCATTTCTTTAGTAAACCTTTCTCTAGGGTAGAGGTTAGTAGTTCAGTGCTTACTGTGTGTGAAGCTCTAGGTTCAATCCTCAGCATGGCAGAAACAAAACGAAGACATTAAACACCTTTATTGAACATCCTATCATAAGCCCTGAGGGTAAAAGGGTAAACAGATGTTACCCTTGTCACTCAAAAGCTAATAGTCTGGTCTGAGAAGACAGGTTCTCAAGTAGTATAACGGGTCATCACTGAGAGGTTCATAAAGAACTTTCCAGAATAAGTGGAGGAAGGAGCTCATGAAGAGGTTGGGACAATTTCACAGAAAGTATAGTGGTTGTACCGAGCAGAACCGTGATTACTAGTGAATTGGGCAGAAGTATCCCAAGCAAAGGAGTAGCAAGTGCAAGTCACAGAAGCCAGAGAGAGAGCGCTGCAGTGGCTCACCAAGCTTACAGCTGTGTGCAGCGAACATTGGACCCAGCTCATGCTCTACCTTGAGGGAAGAAACGGTGATGGATTTAAGAAATCTTATAAACAGAATTACACAATCCTGTTACAGGCATGTCCAACCTGTTGCCCACAGGCTGTGTGTCCCAGGACAGCTGTGAATGCAGCCCAATGGAAAGTCATAAACTTACTGAAGTAAAACAGTATACATTTTGGGGTGGGGCCAAGGAGTTTTTGTTTCTTTGTTTTGTTTTTGCAACCTGATTGCTCTGTTGGAGCATGAACTTTGTAGATGAGGTCATGTCACAGTGTCGAAAGGTTGAACCACCTGTGTGGTCTCCACATTCTTCTCTCTCACATCCTCCTGTCCAGGTCCCTTGACAGCACCTGACATCTGTTATTAAAACCTAGCCTCCAAGGAACCTTGTTTGAAAACCACTGCAAGAGAATGTAATAGATCAAGCTCTTGTATGTTTTAGAATTACATGATGTTGTGTATATGATATTTTATCATCACTCTTCATTTACCTCTTGAGGCAAAATTAAAAACTTATACTGGGGTTGGAGAGATGGCTCAGTTAAGAGCACATACTGCTCTTCCAGAAGACTCATGTCAGGCAGCTCACAATTGACTGTATCACTAGCTCCAGTGGCATCCAACGCTTCTGGCTCTGGCCTCCATAGGCACCTGCACTCATGTAATGCTGTATGCCTTTAACCCTAGCCCTAGAGATGCGAGGCAGGTGGAGGCCAGACTGGTCTGGATAGCCAGTTCCAAGAGGGCCAAAGCTGCATAGTGAGACATAAGACCTTGTCTCGAAAACACAACCAAACCCTCATCTGTATATACTAGTGAGTAGATTTTTACATGTTTGTATTTTGAATTATAAGCATTTTTCATAGTTTTAAACAAAGACTCTGGTGGTTATTTTAATAGATACTAAAAGGATTTTGAGCATGTGTGATTCTCGTGTTTGTTTTCCAGACCGTTTGGAGGGTGACAGATCTGAAGGTTCAGGTCAGGAGAATGAAAATGAGGATGAAGAATAAACGACTCTTTGCAAGCACTTAGATGTTCTGAAATTTGTATACGACATTTATTATATTTTTTTCTTTACAGAACTTTAGTGCAATTTAAGGCTATGGTTTTTTGGAGTTCTTCCCCATTTTTTTTGGGATAACCAAACATTGGTTTGGAATGAGTGTGTGCATGAGTTGGGAGAGTGTGTAAAACAAAACAAGCAAAATGTTTTTGAAACCTTTTGCCGTGTATGGAGTGCTCAAAAATGCCAAGTGCAATACTTCCCTAACCCTCAGATGTGAGAGCTTGGATCACTGTTGAAAAGTCATTTTCATTGTAGTGAAAATGTTGGTTCAAATAAATTTCTACACTTGCCATGTGCATGTTTGTTGCTTTCTAATTAAAGAAGTTGGTTGTTTTAAGATCCTAAATTTGACTTTTTATTTAATTCTTTGCTACTTTGATCCACATTTTCCAGTCATTTCTCTAACAAAAAAGAGCTTGCTCTGTTTTCTTCATTTAGAAACCTTTTCCATCTTGACTTGTGTATGACCAGATCACATAAAAGGGCCTTTACATTTCTCTTCCCGAGGTACTTTTTTTCATCTTGAGTTACTGACTCATGACTTGTGGTACCTCATCTGAATCAGACACTGATCCTTCTGGATGGTTCACATTAGCACAACTTGAAGGTGCTGTCTTCTGATCTACCTCGCTGTCCATATTCCTGATTTCACAGCAATCAGTTAGCTGACTGTAGCATCCATATCCACTCCAGACAGACCTCCATGCCCAGACCTGTGAGTGTCTCACAGGGTTTGTCCTGAACTGCTTCGTAGACCTAACCTTTTCTGCTTCCTAAGTTGCCTGCTGTGTTTCCTCAATCTGATTACATGCATACATCTCTACAATCCATTTACAAAAATAAAGTCTTTTCTCGACGGGCGGTGGTGGCGCACGCCTTTAATCCCAGCACTCGGGAGGCAGAGGCAGGCGGATCTCTGTGAGTTCGAGGCCAGGCTGGACCGACAGCCTCCAAAACAATACAGAGAAACCCTGTCTCATAAAAACAAAAAAAGTCTTTTCTCGATGCCAGGTTATTGTGTATGCATATACGTTCTAGTCATCATCTACACAAGCATCCATGCTGCTCATATTGAAAGGCTCTTCAGACCTACCAGATGGGGGAGAGGCAGCTGCTGCTTCCTGATACTTACAAAATACTTTGGCCTGCAGAATGGTGTACCTGTTTAGTGAGACAAAAGGACTACTGAAAGAACACTCTCCCCCACCTCTCCAACCACATCTGGAAGTGGCTTTTAGACGCTTCGTATCTGTCCGATGGATGAATGACCAGAGCCAGTGCAGATCTGAAATGGCCTGTCATACTCATCTCAAGCATGGAGCCCTCTGTCCATATTTGCTATACCAGTTGCTTTTGCTGAAAGTTCACATTTGCTTTAATCAGCAAGTAGCCTAACTGTTCCTGTCATTTTCAGCCACCTAAATGTCCTACCAGAAGAATTGACTGAATCAGACACTGAGAATAAGACAAACTGTCTCCATCTGGGCCAAGAACATGCTTGATGGCATAGCAGCACAGAGCCATCTCTATGAGAAACATGGACCTCCCCACAAGAACACCTGCTGCTAACAGAATATAGTTAGCTTTGTCATAGAAGAAAGTAGATGTTACATTAAACCAGTGGCATGGATTTGCTGGAGGACAGAGTGTGCTGGAAGACTCAGGTCAAAGGGTAGCTGGTAGGAAAATGTTAGAACAAAGTCAAATGGCACATGTCTGAAGTAGCACAGTGTGCAGACGGAGGCATGGGATCTGTGTATGTTTCCTGCAAACTTGAAGCTATTCTATCAAAGGGATTAGGTCTGTTATTAGCAAAGCAATTATGTAAACAGCTGGTGTCTATTACTTAGGAACAAGCCAACTGGACAAGTAGTTAAGGATATAGCAAAGACAGAATTAAGTCCTAGCCACTTCCAAGAGTCAGTGGAGGAGAGGTGGAGAGTTAGGAGACTGGCCCAAGGGGTCACTTACATGCACACTCAGAAAAAAAGATATTGTCAATCTGAATAGGTGAGGGGAGAGGAAATGATAAATCTGATATGGAGATGTTTGTGTCTGTGCTTCAATCTGCTACTCAGTATCTTTGCTCTGATGGGTGGGTAGGTGGGTGGATGATGGATGGATGGATGGATGAATGAAAAAGCACTAATTCATTAAATCTCTTAAAAACCAGGCTTAAAAGCTGGTCATGGTGGCACACACCTTTGAGTCTCAGGACTAAACTAAAAAACAAAAATCAGGTTCAGAGTGTCTTGAATATGATATGCAACAGTCATGTAACCCAATACTACTTGAATTCAACCATGTTGGGGAATTTAAATGCATTCATGAATCTATCCAAGTGACTGTAATATGGGGATCCTCACTCCCAATTCTGTGGTAAGTTCCCTCTTGCTGCTCAGTCCTCTTCTTAGCCCATGGGGAGTTGAGATAGGAATAGGGCTGTAGAAAGTTTGGGGAAGAAACAGACACCCAGAAATGCCCATAGACCACAAGTCCAAGTGAAAACTGACAATTTACACATTCCAAAAACATTTAATCCGGTAAACAAAACTTGTCTAAATACACTTATTTATTCATAAATACTGATTTATATATAATAGCCCTAGACCATTTTATCTTCAAGAACCCCATCCAAAATGTCAAGTTAAATACATTTTAGGGTTAGCTTGGGTTTTATTAATTTTTGAAGTTTGGCTTTTAACCACTTCTTCCTCTATGTAGACGTCATCAGAACAGCACACAGAACTCTCCTTAAAGCCTGTCTTTACCACCAGCAGATCCATTTCCAGGCAAGCAGGCTTTCTGCCACACTTGCATGGTCTTGTCACCCAAGTCCTCTGGAACTGTCCTTTCCTCTGGGAGGAGCTGGCTCACCTGTGGTTTTTGGTGTTCCAAATAGTGGTATATTGTGTGCCAAAATTACCCTGACCAAAATTGTGCTTGTAATCTTGTGCAGATTAGTGTCTGTGCTTTGAAGTCTTTCCAACAGATGATTGCCTAACATTGACCTTCAAGGCCATGTTTTAGGCCTTGTCTTAGGTAAGATTCTTCCTGTCTAATAAAGTCCAGCTGGCCCATTCTACGGATGACCTTTAACCTACCTGTGCCTCATTCTCCTTGAGCTACAAGGCTTGTTCCTTCTCTCAAACTCATGACCAAGACCTAGGAATTTGGCTATGCCTCTGGTTTACCTCATTTTGAGTCACAGCTTTCCTCAGGCCTTCCTGGTCGAATCCATGTTCTTGTGGTCCTCCTCAGGTTTCCTCAGCTTCTGTATACTTTAGGGAGTGGCATGGAGACCTATACCTCCTCTGCCTCTTCCATCAGAGTCTTGGAACACAAGAGCTTTGGGAGGTGGGAGTCAGACACTGTCAATGCTAGACTGGGTGTCTTCAGAACCCAAAGGTATTGGAGTTAGTGTGGGGGGGGGGTGTTAGGGAAGGTCAGAGTTGAGTTGACATAGGTTGGCACTCTATACATCATCTTTAATTTGGGATATTATAGAAATACTCCTTTTTCGTGTGGAAGAAAGACTTTCTTACTAGAAAAGTTCATTTTTGTTCCTACTCGCCCTTGTGTTCCAAATTCTCCTCAGCCTTTCCACCCTCCTCTATTGCCTTCCCTCTGTCGTCACTCCTTCATTAATTCCTATTACACTGAATAGCAAAAAACTCCCCCAGGGCAACGACCCTCAACATAATTAATTACCCTGAATTGGATAACATATCTTTTGAAGGGTCTCATACATTAAAGACTCCTGTAAAACAGGAAGGAGTCTGCCCTGCCCGTTGCACTGAGAAGCAAGACCAGTGGCTGAAGTCGGCCTGCACTTCTTTCCTTGGTGGATGCACCATGAGCATTTCTGTAGTCCGCCCTATGCAGACAGCATCCTTGGATTCTGAATCCCTATATACAGATTACCAATCACCTGCCTAGTGAGTGACAACCTGAGATCTTAACTCACAACCATGCCACACACCAGCATCATCCCTTCTGTGTCCCACCTGCCTGAAGCAAAAGAAGATGGAGCATTTGAAGTTCTCAATTAGTGTCTAGCATATAACAGGCTCTTAGAGGTCTTAAGTGAGGCACACAGTGGGACGCCACACCATCTTTGTTCCTTCCAGACAGGAGGCAGACGAAATGAGGCTGAACGTGTTTCCTGAGTTCATCCATTGAGAAATGTCTCGCTAATCTGCAAAGCTAAGGAGCACATTGTCCTCCTGGAAAAGCTCTCATAATAATTCTATCTCAACAGACTAGTATACTCTCTCATTGGATCAACATTATTTTTCCTGTCTATACCCAATCTACAGTGCCCTATAGCAAATACTGAGTGATGGTTTCATTCTTTGCTGAAAGATGAAGTCACAGTTAGACAAATGAGACTTTAAGAACATTAGCACCAATGGGCCATTGTCTTTGCAATCATCCTCCCTTAGGAGTTGTGGTTTGCTTAAGATCACACAGCGCTGTGCAGGTATTCCCGGAGGATTAGTTGTCAAGGCCAGGCATTTGTGTTCATGGCTGGGCTCAGAAGAACAAGCCACCCTGTTTTTTCCCCCTCTCCACAGCCATGCTGCTGCCATCTAGTGTCTAAGGTGTTGAACTCCAGTTTGGGTTGTCTGGCCAGGGAAACACTAGGTGCTGAGCTGTGTATACTGTAGTGCTGAACTCATGGCCTTCTTGGATGCAACAGGTCCCACAGCTAGTGTCTGGAACACAGCACAGGAACCAAGTCAAGGGGAAAATCTTGTAAAGCAGTGGCAGAGATGGGCCATGGCCCTCCAAGTGATCCTGCCCGAATCAGGACCGAGGTATTCAACCAAACAAGTAGCCAAAGGTCCCACCTGCCCCTACCCATGAGTGCCCTGGGGAAGTTTGTAGCTAACATGGCTGGGTTTAGCTGGGATGGTGGGCTTCTAAAAGAAGGCAGGTGTTCTCCATAGAAGACAAAAGAAAATGTGTGGACTGCCTCTCTCTCCTCAGTCACTTCTCTCTAGCTCAGTTGGACAAATGAGAATCCCTGAATATGCAAAAACATGGTTCTGGCTCCTACACACTCTCCAAGACTCAGTCGAGATGGTCATCTGCTTCACTGGCTCAGCCCTAGGATCCTAGTTGGAATACTCTGACCCTCTGGAGCCACAGTTCTGGCATCACTGCTGGATGCTCTGCATCCACAACAGTATCTTCTGGCTGTCTCTCTTCTGAAGTGATTAATAAACACTGCTGTTATGTCCCAGTGCCTGGTGAGGTGCTTTATAGGCCTGCAGTGTTGGGCAAATGAATAGTCCTCACTCCATTAAAAGGCGTGGATTCCCATTAAAAACACTGAAAATTCCATTTTCTAGGTCAGTTTAGATGACCTAGGGGTCAGCCAGCAGGACTTGGAGGCCTCAGCATCCTTTCCATAAAGCCTAGCCCCAGGCAATCAAGAAAGAACTCTCCAACCTTTGAGTCTTAAATCAGTCTATTGCACTAACTGGCAACCAGTCCCTAGGGGGCAAGGCCTATGCCATGATCCACTTCTGTGCATTAGGAATATGGTCCCTCCAGACACCGGACAAGTACTAGAAAAAGATAACACACTAGAAAGAGAACAGAAATGCTGCCAGGGTGAGAGCAGTACCTATCCTCTGCCCACGGCCATTCCATCCAAAATCCTACCAACCCCCTGCACAGCTGTCCTGGAGTAGGTGGTGTTGACAAAAATCAACCATACAAAGGCAAATGCCAAGTCTCATGAAATGTCTTCAGTGAGCTGCACACCAGGAACCACAGGAAAAAGATACTGCCATACCAGGAGCCAGGTAGCCCACAGAAAACACATGAAAAGTAATTCACTCTGGAATGGCTGCCTAGTGGCTGATACAGCAAGTGGGGTCTTCCTTTGCTGTGAAATGGAGAGCCCTGAGCCTAGCTTCTCTAAGCACCCAGACTTAAGAAGAACAGGAAAGGTGGTCTTCCTGGCAAGCACCCAAAGCTCAAACTTCAAGTTCTAGCTCAAGGAGCAAGGGGTCCAAGTCAATGAGCCCCACCTGCTTCCCTACCTTTGTGTCAGCTGTGGCATGGTCTTCATACCTGTGCCTCGGTGGCTAGCATTTAGGACTGCCCTAAACAATCAAACAGTAAAGAGACACAGGGCCAGAGTGTGCAGGTCGCTCTTGCGTGTTCACTGGACACACACTCAAAAGTATGCAAATGCTGGTTCATTCACTAGTCATGTTCTGTTTGTTCCCATCTCTTAAATTACAAGTTCAGAAGACATCAAGGATCAGAGCTGGAAATATCTTGGAGACTAACTCGTTCCAACTCCTCACTCCTCTCCCATTTCTCCAAATGGCCTAGTGACAGGACAGGATGTTCCAGAGATACGCAGACAAAGACCAAGCTGGGTCAGGAACCCAGGCTGTGAACCCAGCTCCAGTGCCCATTCTACCTTGTGCCTGCTCCAAAGCTGCAGTGACAATCACAATTGCTCCTGGCAATGAATTGAGGCCAGCTATGTTTGTCAGTCACTCAAGCATCTCCCACATCACCTATGTGAGGGATTTCCCCTAGATTCTTCCCTGCTGTACGTGACATCACAGCCCCGGTCTTAGTGACATACCCTAATCTCCTGGGGTTTTCATTTTGGAAATGAAATGCCTGGTATTCACCCTTATCTTTTATAGTGGTTTCTCCCTTCTTTGCAAATACTAAAACATCTGTCAACAAAGAGGTGAGTGGGGTGGCCCCATCTTGGGTGGCCTGTGGGCTGCTCCTACAGACCAGCAGCAGGTGTCACCAAAGGCCACATCCTAATGAGGGCATTAGATATGGGGTGTCTGAGTATGGTGCTCTACTCCTGTGTGTTCTCTGGACTGTTGTGTATTTAGGCTAGCCCATGTGGCCCTATGCTGCCTGGATCAACCACATAGAAACCCAGATGGCCTTGCATCCCATGAGGTACACTGAGTATTGACCGCCTCTGAGACCATGAACAGTTAGACCAGCAGGATACTGGTGAAGACATGATCCACAGGCTGGCTTCCCTTTAAACCCATTGTCTCTGTCCTTCCGAAACAGCAGCCACATCTCCATCTGCGTTTTCAGTGTGCTTTGGAAGCCGCCTTCCATCCCAGGGACCCTGGACAGCCCCATGTGCCTTCACGGCAGACAGTGAAGTCAGAACTTCCAGTCCTCCTGGCTGCGTCCCCAGTGTTTCCTTCCTAGCGTCTGGCCCTCCGTGAGGGGTGACGTCTTCCAGGGCCTTGGCACAGACACCGGTACCAGTAGCTCCACTGCGGCCCCAGTCCCCTCTGAGGTCTTCATCTCTGCTCTGCAGCTAAGATATCCCCTTCCTCAATGCTCTGCAGTGGCAGCCTCTGATTCAAAAGAGTTCTGCTGCCTCGACGCCCCCCAAAGCTAGCCCCTGGGACAGTCCGTGCTGTGAACAAGACCCCTGGCAAAGCCTCCTCCCCAAATAAGTTGATTTTGGCTTCAGCTTCAATGGCTTTAGCCAAGCTGGCTGCGTAACTGTCCAAAGATTTGTGGACTTCGGCTTTCACATGGAGAATAGAGTTCTTGGCAGCCTCTGTGGGAGAAGGCAGAAGGGAGGTTAGCGCAGGAACCAGGACCCGTGACTACCCCAGGAAGATGGCCTCTGCTGGGTCGCTGCCCCAGGGAGAGAAGACAAGCGGAGATAACATGTACAGATGTTGACAACAGATTTCCCAGGCTAAAATTCTGGACTTCCCGATTCACTACCTGAGAAATGCCAGATGTTAGTTTCTAGTTTAGTTTCCTCATCTAGAAAGAGAAGAGATCTCTTACTCCACATGGTTACTGTGACAAGTAAATGAGCAAATCTTCCTAAAACGTTTTAACCTTTCCGTCTTCAAAAGACTTCATTCCTAGCAACTCCCTGCTGCAGCCTTCCTTGTGGTTGTGAACTGGAATGTCGTGTCCTCTCCTCTCCATCTCACTCGGAGTTTCCCTGAGTGTGGAAAACCTCAGGTTTGGAAGCGATGTCAACAGTTGCACTATCCTATGGGGGGGGTTAGGACCCCCGACACCTGCATTGACCGAAAAAGAGGAATGAAGGTGGTTTTTCATTCCCAAACCAGAGCAAAGCTATCACAGACCTCACTGCCTAAACTCTCGGGGTATTTGGGGGAACTTCTCCGCCCCTTATGTTTTCTGGAGAACAGCCAGCTTGTGCCCCACTCTGCGGGAAGGAAGGAAGTAGACTTCCCAGCTAGCACCTTGCTCTCAGCACCCGACCAGCAGAGGGCGCTTCAACACCTACCCACTCCCAGGACACCAGGCAGGCTTGACTGTGTGTGGGAGGTCTGGAGAGCAGTTGGACTCACCCTGCAGAAGGGTAATGTATGCTCATAAGGCTGCTGCTGGCTCTGCGATTGAATCTACCTGGCCAGAGATGGAGATGTTTTCTTCTCTTCCCTCTGAGCTCCTCCACCATCACCCCCCTCAATTTGGATGGGAGTGGCGGGGGGGGGGGGGGGGGGGTGTGTGCAAGGAGATCAATAATGGGCCTGAATTTATTTTCATACTCAGCATTTACACCTTAAAATCCTGGGCTCCCGCAGACTCGTGGTTCCATTATGCCAATGGCTATTCTCACTCGGTGAGATTCCTACACCCGAGGGCAGCCTGTATGGCTCCTCTGTCACCTGTCTACTTGGCATGTCTGGATGGAATGCTGACCCCAAGTCCCAAAGGAGCACAGATGCTGGGTGTTAGAGTGGGAAAACCTAGTCAGCGAACTCAGCTCTCACAGGTCAGGGCCACTCATCAGGATGGCCACTGGGTCTCTACTCAATACGCCATATTTCTGCTCTCTTTCTCTCTCCAGGTGCCGGCCCGTGCATGCAGATGTGTGTGTGCATGTGTGCAGTAGAGCTGTAGTGCTCAGGAGGCAGAGGTGACGAAGCCTTGGCGTGTTCTGCGGGAAGGTTGTGGCTAAAATCCCCTCCTTGCCCACATGTTTTTCTGAAGCAGTCCCACAAACCGACCTTTGCTCTGTTCCACTTCGTCCTCAAATGTCACGGAGCTCCTTCTCCTGGGTGGGCAAGTGCAGTGTGGGGGAGGGTTGTCCTCGGAAGGGCAGTCTTCCAGCAGCATCACATCCGTCCCTAGGGCGAAGGGCAGACCACGTAGCTCCAGACACCTAGGCCTCTTCCTCCCACCACCCCGTGCCTCATGACCCTGACTACCAGCCCCTCAATCCCACAAGCAGGTTCAGCTGACTGCCCTGAAGCAGCTGCCACCCATCCAGGATTTCACAGAGTACCAGCTGACCAGATACTCTAACCACTGTCAAAAAAGGTGGGGGCAGTGGACAGCACCTGAGGAACAACACCCAGGTAACCCGAGGTAGTCCCCTCCATCCATCGCCTTAGGACACTATGTCCTGGAACCCTTGGTGGGCGAGGGGCAGGCCTTGTGACTAGCACCTAGCTGAGACCATCAGTTGAGAAAATTCTGCCTTCCCTGAGGTTATCCCTCTCTGGCAACCTGCACATCACATGGTGTCTTGGGGCTGACCTGTATCACTTGTCTGTGGTTGGAGGGACTCCCAGGCTGTCTCCCCATCCTCAGGCAGATGAGCTCTGGTTCCTGCCATTCACTCCCTGAGCCCTACTGACTTCACTAACAGTTATCTCTCCATACCCCAAAGTGACTTTTCAAAAGCTCCCAGTGGGCGCTGGGAGATGGCTCAGCTCTTAAAGGTTCACAACCCAAAAGACAAAAGCTCCCAGGGGTGTAGAGACAGAGGAGCTTGGAGTTGATGACAGTGCTTGCTGCAGTGTTTGGGGACTGGGTACCACTCCCTGTACGTCCCAGAGCCTCAAATGTGGCCAGGGGCCTCAGTTCTCCAGCAGAAATCTGTGAACTAAGTGCATGAAGAGACGCTTCCGGCTCTGATCTTGCTGCCCCCACCCAGGGTCACTCAACAAACGTGGGATCCAGCAAACACAAGGAGCAGGCCCCAACATCAGGAAGCTGACTGCAGGAAGGAGGCTAGGAACCAAGAAGATATGGACTCCAGAGCCTGGCCAGTCAATTATAGTATAAATAGTGTCAAAGCATAGATTCTTCAAATTTTAACACACGCACACGTGTGTGTGTGTGTGTGTGTGTGTGTGTGTGTGTGTATGTGTGATGGTTTTTCCGGACAGGGTTTTTTTGTGTAACAGCTCTGGCTACCCTGCTCTGTAGATTGGACTCGAACTCACAGAAATCCACCTGCCTCTGCCTCCTGATTGCTGGGATTGAAGGTGTGTGCCACCACAGCCAGCTTATTAAATTTTAAGCCATCTCACCATATGGTCGGGAGAGAAGGAACCCAGAGGCCCGTTTTGTAAGAGGACAGAACAGAATCATGGTTTAACAACTCAGAGCCATATGAGAAGCCCAGCTCCCAACCCTTACCTCTCCTCCACGCCCTTTCCGGAACTCCTTGGGCAATGATGAGCCTCCCAGCAGCAATTAACTCAGCAAGTTTACACAGAATGAGCGGTTTTCAGAGTAGGACCATTACCTGAATCCTGGGAGTAGCTGAAGCCGGTGTCACCAGTGCTGCTGCTATGTCCCAGGGACTGTCCACCTGCCATGAGAGCTGTAAGGTGTGGGGACAGGCCCAAATCTGAAAGGCAAAGTTGGCATTGATGGAATACACACGGGCTGCTCAGGGTGGGCATCTGCTTCATGCTGGGCAACTGATTCAGTTTCTGACCCCACTGGCCTTGGCCTACCAACTCCATTCTGGACACTGTCCCTTACAAAAACTCACCCCTTACTCACTGGAAGACGGCCAAGCCCCAGCTGCTCCCCCTAATTTTGACCCTTATTCCATCAGGACTCACTGGGCTCCCCATGGGGAGCCTTCCTGATCATGTCAGCCACCAAGATAGATGGAGGGGATGCTAGGGCGAGCAGTCATGTGGGGAAGCTAGGACATACTCTTCCCTTTCGTCCTGAGAGCCAAGGAGGGAACAGTGAGGGTAGCAGCCCTTGTCACAAGCTTTTCACACAAGCAGCTGTCACTTCACTTAGGGTCAGTTACAGGGCTGGAACTAGAGAAGACCCCCAGTCTCCCCTGCACCTGCTTATCCCTCTGGCACATGGATTGGCCTGCTTCGATGGCCTCAGGGACATCTCCTGCCAACTGGGATGGTGGCAGCCACAGTGTATTTGGACACCATCTCTGAGGCTGCGGCAAAAGCCAGGAACATGTGTCTTGGTCTCCCCGAATGAGAGGACTCCTCTGAGCCAGACCACTGTGGCTCAGCTGCGAAGCCTCCTTCTCCTCCGAAGAGCAGACACGGTTACCTCGAGATTCCATGCAACACCACCATATCCCACAGGAACCGCCACATCTAACCCATCCGGTGAAGATGCACAGAAGGCCAGGCCCAGGAACCATGTCTACTCCCTAAGAACATGCACCAGATAAAAGGCACCTGCGCATTTTAGAAGCTAACTGGGATTCTGAGGAGCAGTGGGGATTTAGCCCAGAGATGGTTAGAAAATGAAAGGAGGAAAACTCAAAGGCCCCTGTAGTACCTGCCCCCCTCCACCCCAGCACACACACCCCCAGCCCCCACCAGGCCTCCCAAGAAGGCTGGCATGTGCGTTCTTCTGAGTGAATGACACATGGGAGCCGGGAGGTAACCAGAGAGCTCTGTCCCTAGACACCGGGCATCTCCACGTCTGGGGCACAGGGGCTTATCCTTGGGCCTCAGGGCTGGGCTGAGCAACAGGGCTGTTTAGTTCTTCTTGCCCTTTTTCCTACAGTCTTTTCTTTCTTCCCCCTGCCAGCAGCCCCCTTTCAGTTTGTATCGAAGTTTAGCATCCAACAGAAAGTTAGTGGTCAGCTCGCCCTTCTCACGAGGGAGCAACCTCCACTCTACGGCTGCCCTACCCACCATGAGGCAACACTCCCCACAGCCCCCAGGTGCCCCGGAGATCTCTATTCCTAGAGGAACCCCGACCCACCACAGGAATCTGCTAACGAGACCTCACAAGCAAAGAGCTTGGGGGCTCAGTGACAGCTAGTACACCACTGATTGTGGGTGAAGTGGGCTGTGCGTGAAGCCACCTTCTGTCCTGTGCTTGGGACATTGCAGGAATGGGTAGAATTCCGCTTCTGCCTTTGCACGAATCATCAGGACGACCGATAATTCCACTTACTGACTTCTTGGGTGACAATTTTTCATGTACAGCACAAATGTTCTAAAAAACCATGGCAGGGCCTCCACCTTGCCAGCCATCTTTTGTCCCCCTTGTGAATACAAGGGCAAGCATGAAGGCAGGTTAATTAAAGGCAAGGGAGGTAAGCTGGGTTCATTTTAAAACACTGTGTACAGAGGGCAATGGTAGGGTCTCGTAAGCCTGGCTGAGACAGAGGACTATGCATGGAGGCTCAGGGTTGTCCCTCCTGATTAGAAAGACAGTAAGTACTGCTGTCATGGACAGTCATAGAGTGAGTACCTGGGAGAGACCCATATTCTGTCTTGCTCCCCAGTCCCTACAGTATTAATATGGTTGACTGACCTCCTACAGCCGGGCTCTCAGAGAAGAGCAAGAGCCACTGCCTACTCCTGGGCCTGGAGAAGTCAAGGACTCAGAGCCTATCAGCCACAAGGCTGACTTTCCCTGGATGAGCCTCAGACCACCAACGGCTTTGGGTTTGCCAACCCAACCACAGCTGGTGTTTTCCGATTGCTCCCACAGCCTGGTAGTCCTTTCTAGGACAATCAAAAACAATTCACACAGCAAATCTTGGCCAAGAAACAGATGTTCCTTTTTATTCTATCTACTCTTTCCTCTATCCTGTGTCCTCCTTTTTTTTCCTTCTTTATTCTTACTTTTAGTGGAATAGAAAACATCTATTAATTTTTCCAAGGAGACAAGTTATTGTCTGAGCTAATAAATTCACCAATAAAATGAAGCCACGCACTGAATGTACCTTCTGGCTCACAAACCACACTTGGGAACATGAGCTTGTAAATGACAAGGGGTGGACACTTGAGACTAATAAATAAAGAACCATGGAGATTGTTTTCTTCCTATGGTCAAAAGAAAATTCACCAGATTTCCCCTGTCCAGCAATATCTCTCCAAAAGTCCACCAAGTCCAGTCAGCAGATGTGTGCCACTGCCATATGGACAAGGCATTTTGTCATCTCTGGCCCTGAGTGTCCATAGACAACAGGGCCATGTTGTTTGCTCTGTTGAAGGTGAAGGTGGAGGATCTCTGTTTTCTGAAGAAGAGAGATTAAGTAGATCTTAGTCATCTGGCAAGGAGTGAGCTACGGGATGAAGGAGGCACCTTCTGGTTGGCTTAATAAATATCTGACTGACCAACAGCTAGGCAGGAAAGGACAGGCAGGACTTCCAGGGAGAGGAAGGAACTCTGGGAAAGAATCTGAGGTGGGAGACTCCCCAGTGAGGCTCGGAGGAAGTTGAACATACAGTATTGAGTATTGAGGAGAGGTAGCCAGCCACATGGCAGAAACTAGATTTAGTTTTAAGAGTTAGTTGGGAACAACTAAGGCCAAGCTTTCATAATTAATAAGAAGTCTCAGTGTCATTGTTCGAGAGCTGAAGGTCCACAGAAAGCTCAGCTACAGAGGTGCTTTGAAATCTCCGACCAGTAGCTCACCTGGGTGTCGGTCTTCTTCAACGTGGCTCTAAAATCCCAACTATGTTCACTTCAGAGCAACATAACCACACCACAGTGAGCAAGATACACCAGTGCAAGCTAGAGTCAGCGGGTGGGAGCCAGAGGAAAGCTAGAATATCCCCAGTCTCTAAGCCTCCCCACCAGCATTTGTGCTAATTACAACAGAAGCAGTACTGCGTGGAGAAGGCTGACAGACCACACCTGAAGCAAAAGGCCAGGGTAACTGGAGTAATAAGATACACTGACACACGTGCCCCTACCCCGATGACGAACAGGCTCCCACCACTCCTGCAGCATTCTTGCCCAAAATATACAAGTTGCCTAGACCTGACGACCCTCTACAGAAGTGCCCAGGCAGGGCTGAGGTACAACACGTGTGGGGCTCTAGCGCTGATCTTGTACTGCAGTTATGTAAGTTGATAACACGATGGGAAGCTCTCTGTACTATTTTCCAGCTCTTCTCAACCTAAAATTATATCCAAAAGAAAAACAAAACAAAACTGAGAAACGACATCTAACCTCTGGGCTAGAGCAACTCCTCAAGGACATTGTGACAAATGCTAGTCGTCATCGCCACCGTGTGTGTGTGTGTGTGTGTGTGTGTGTGTGTGTGTGTGTGTGTGTGTGTGTCCACCAGGGAGAGCAGCTTTGAGAAAAAGACAATGACACTCTGATGGAAGGCTATGGTTTGGCACTGATGACCCCAGCCTGCCATGCACACACACGACAGATTACCAGGGACCCTCAGAAACCACTGGCCTGGAAGGGAAAGCTCAAGGTGACAAGTGTTTGAGAGGAAGGACCGGCTAAGTGAGCCACTGAGGCACAGAAAGAGCATCCAAGAGAGGCGAAACTGAAGGAGCGTGTTAGCCAGAGGAGAAGGCAGCCTGGCCCAAGGCGCAGAATCTTCCTTCTGAAGTAAAGAAGTGGCTATCCCTTCCAGACCACAAGGTCCCAGCTAGGGGTCCAGAAAATAGATTTCCAAATCACAATGTCCCCTGCCTCATTCTCTGAGGATGTGTAGCAGCAGGGATTGCGGTCTCCTACTCAGCATGCTCCTTTATCAGCTTAGTAGTGGAAAGCTGCTTGAGGGTCACTGTGGCTACTCTGGGGTGGCCCCTCACCACAGGATCCCGAGAACTGCCACACTGACAGACCCTTAGGAACTGAGAGGGACCCTGGGGGACGTCTGCTTTGGAGTGGGGGGTTCTTTTTCCTAACAGGTTCCCAGATTACCTGTGATCCTGTTGGAAATGCTGAAGAGCCTGGAGGTCCTCTGTCGCTGCACAAATGGTTCCCGGTAATATCGGTCCCCGAAGCACATGCCCAGGAGCTCCTTGCGAACAGTCTTGTTCCAGAGTCCATAGATCAAAGGGTGGCAGATGGCACTGGTGAAGGACAGCCATGTGGCCCAAGTCTCCAGGGTTGGGGAGACACAGTTCTTCCCCCAGAGTGCCTCGGAGGTGATGACAACCATGTAGGGGCCCCAGGTGACCATGAAGGCGCCAATGACCACCAGAATGGTGATGAGGGCTTTGCACTGGTTAGCTGAATAGACCACGCCTTGAAAGGCATTCCTCCTGCTGCCTGAGGAGGAAGTGGAGGTACTGGAATTCTTCCTCCCACTCCTCTGGGCATCCTCCTCCACGATGACCACCGAACCACAGTGCACTTTTCGGGCCTTGACCCTGGCTACACGGAAGATGAAACCATAGCATACTAGCATGATGAGAAAGGGGAACAGGGCACACCAGATCTGCCAGAAGACAGTGTAGCCAGGCTCCCGGTGCCACGCAGCCACACACATCCACTTGAACTCATCAAACTCCAACGATGACCAACCGAATAGGGGCGGCAGGCAGCCAATGAGAGAGTGGAACCAGATATAGACGAGCGCCATCACAGCTCGGTTCCCCGTGATCTTCATTGGGTACACCATCGGATACAGGACAGCGTAATAGCTAGAAAAAGGATCGCGGGAGGTGAGAGACGACATACAGGGAGGCAGGATGTTCTATTTTAAACTTTTAGTCCACACTAATATTTACTAATAAAAAAATAGCATCTGCTGTTCACATATCTAAAGACACTAGATTTTCTTTTAATTGATTTCACAGCATATTTACCCACTTTATTTGGCTATGTATCTCCAGAACAAGTGCTCAATAATTGTTTACCAAATGAATAAATACAACCTAGTTCCTAAGTAGAAGGGATCACCTCACCTCCTACATACATGTGCAATCCTATTTGCTGTTTAGAATGTCACTCAAATGTCACCCTTCCTTAAGCACTCACTGCCTACCCATCCGCAGCAGTGACTTCTGTAGTTGCCTATGGCAGCTGATTCTAGTCTACACTAATATCAACATGCACAGTTGAATCTGTGCTGCCAAGATGTCACTCTAGTGGATAATTTGGTGTCCCTATCATGCCTACAGCTTACTACCCCAAGACCATGCCTTGGGCCTTTAGAGACATCCAACAAATGCCCTCGGCACTGGCATAGGTGGACTGTTGATGATGCACCTTGATGGTCCCTCCGACCGTCATTTGTCATTCTTACCTTCACTTAACTTGCTCCCAGATTTAAGGAAGTAGTTTGCATCTTCCTGGACCTACCCCTGCAGATCGCTGACACTACAACCAAGTACAGACAGTGCTGCAGAGACACAGGGGACCAACTTTTATCTGCACCTGAGCTGCTTAGCCTTGATCTGCATTCCACAAGACCCAAGAAAACAGGTGTTCAAAAACTGTTATTTTTTTTTAAACAGAGTTTAAAATGCCAATAAGATCTGATTCTCTCTATTGCCAACAAACTCCCAGACTCTTTTTTTCTGTGTCATGCAATCATCTTGGTAGGATACCAACACATTGCTGGAATAAACAGACAGTTGGAGATGCTAATAGTTTCATTTTGACTCATTTATTCTACATTCTTTGCAAAGCCATGGGGGAAACAAGAATCCAGCCTTGGGGTCCAGCATCACTGTGCTCAGGGCAGCCAGTCCAACCCAAATAACCATGTTCCCAAGAGTCTGGAGACTTGTGTCAGCCTGTGGCAACATTCCTGACTAGCCCCCCTCTGCATTTCCCTAACCCTCCATCAACACCCTTCCCAGTTTCCAGGGAAGCACGTAGACCGTAGACCTTGACTCTCCTCTTTGTTTTCAAGAAGTCCAGCTCCGTGTATGATGATTGAAATGACCCAATAATAAGGTTGGAAACTTGCTGACAAGTCCAGCTGACATGTGGATAGCTAAACCTACCAGCACAACCCTGGCAGGACTCGGACAACCTGAGATGCAGCTAAGCAGTGTGGGCATCGGCATCTGGCCTCTGCCTCAGTTACACCTCGGGTGGGGTCAACCCAGGCTGTAAAAGTGTGCTGGGATTCTCCAGGTATCTCCATTCCCTGGGCTCTCTGCGTTCCCATGGCTCCCCCAGCCAGTCCTGGCTATCTCTACAGAACAAAAGAGTAAAGGGGGCTTTTGTCTGGGGCCCACCAGTCACGATGGGACAGAGGTCAAAGCAAGACATGTCAGGCACACAGCGGAGAGGCGCGGCTGAGTCTGAAGACCAGACTCAGTTCTTGCTTTGGCATTTCACTCCCCTTGGCCCTTGTTTCACGGGTAAAACAAGAACTACAGGTTCCTGGAAATTTTGTTTTAGTTTTTAAAGCAATGGACCTTCTTTTCAAAAAATAGAGTTACAGCGTGTGCATCACTTATCAACAGGGATGCATTCTCAGCCCTGTCGTCTGGTGGTTTTGTTATGCAGAAGACATTATAGATTTAGTCTAAAACTTAGATGTAAGAGGTACTGCACACCAGGCTACAGGGCACATGCCATCAAATACACAAGCCATCACCCACCAGAACACTGTATGTGGCACTTGACTCTACATAAAATCCAGACAGATAGAATGAGAAGGGCTCTGGCCAAAGAGGAAACAGAACTCAATTTGCATACTCTCCTTAGGAAGAACCTTCTAGTGCCCTTCCCAGGAACAAAAGCATCTGAAGCAGGCGGACCAGAGATCCCTCCTTCCACAATCCTTCAACTCTCCAAGTCTGAAGCAAACTTACCGGTCGATGGCAATGACCCCAAGGGTGAGCATGCTGGCCGAGCTGATTAGCAGGTAGAGAAGAGCCGAGAAGTTGCACCAGACCACGCCAAAGATCCATTCCCTCCGGATGGAGCTAGTCACCACGAATGGCAGCACCAGCACGGACAGCAGGAAGTTGGACAGGGTCAGGCTGAAGACAAACTTGTTGCTGAGGGTGAGGAGGTAGGACTTCTTGTACAACGTGACGACAATGACCAAGTTGCCCAGGCAGACGAATACGGTGATGATGATGATGGCGATGAACTCGGTGACCACTCCCCCTTCACCACCCTCTGTGGCAGTGAGGTTGCTCAGCTCCTTCCTGTAGTGGACGGAGGAGTTGAGGCTCATGGTCAGTGCACCTCTGGATGCGGTGAGCAGAGCATGCTGGACGGCTGCGGAAAGAAGACAGGACCAGGGGTGGGGGAAGACTCATCAGATCACATCACTTGCGCTTCAGGAAAGAGAGAGCCCAGCCTAGCAGGGCTAAGTCCTGTACCTCACGTTCACCAACTGGAGTTCACCAACCACAAAACCTCTACAACTTGTTTTTGTTTGTTTGTTTGCCTCTTGTGGACTCTGTAATTGACTACTGTATCCATCCAACTCCCTTTGGAGTGTCTCCCAAAGACCCATGTATCAAAGCCTTAATTCTCAGTTTGGCACTGCGAAGGGGGCTGGGGTGAAGCAGTTAGGATGCCAGGCCTGATGGGAGATTTTTAGTTCATTAGGGATGTACACTTCAGAGAGGATTTCAGAATCCTGCCTCTTCTTCTTTTGCTAACTGACTGTTAGGAGGGAAGCAACTCTCCTCTACCTTGTCACATGCCCCTAATAATGCACCAACTGCCCCCCATCTGGACTCAAACCTCCAAAACTCTGAAGTAGAACACCACTTACCCACCGCCCCTTAAATTTTTCTCATGCAGTCCTGGGCGTCAAATCCAGCATCCTGCATATATGAGGCAAGAGGCATCATCTACCACTGAGCCACACCCAGCCCAAGCCTGCACTTTAAACGAGCAGCCAGAGGGACAGGCGGCTTGTCCTAAGTATGCTCTGTGGGACATTTTGCAGATTGCTGCTCTGGACTCTGACTGCTCGGGATGGATTTTCAACTGGCAATACAGAAGCCAGACAGGAGCTCACAAGGGCTGCAGGCCACCTGCAGAATCAAAATCTCCCCTTTAACCCTATCCCAGCTTACTGCGAACACATTAAACTTGACCACAAGATTTTCCTAACAACAAGTCTGAGTTTCTGAGCAGGGCTAATCAATCAGGGTTAACACTGGAACAGGGTGATTGCTCTCATTGGACATGGAGGAGCCAGGGAAGTAGGTAGGAATTGTGAGTGGGGACAGGAAGACACCGTATTGGCCCACAAAGACTCCACAGTCTATAGGTAGGGTCCCTGCTCTCAGGAAACTGGCTCAAGATCTTGACTAAAATTCAAGGTTGACACATTTTAAGCATAAAATATGTAGACTAATGTTTCTCCAGAACTTTTCATCTACTTTAATAAGCCAAAAAATGAAAAGAAAAAGAAAAAAGAATCCCACAGATGGATTTTCCTATCTGCTCTCATTGTCTGTGAACAGAAAATACCAAAAAGAAAGGAAGACAGCTTTCTGTGAGACACATAAGGTCCCTGGTAACTAAATCACTCCTACACAGCAGCAAGATGGTCCCCAAACCTTCCTAGGGGACCTGCCATTCTGTCAACCTTTTGGGCTTATATAAGTATGTGGTCAACTTATCCTATGCAGAGTTTATAGCATAGGAAATGCTATGAGGGCAGATGTCTCCAGTCTTGAACATACAGAATTAATGTTTCTAAAGCTAAGTACAAACATTATTTCTACTAAAGTTTGCATTGTGCAAGACATCCCACATTTCCAAGCTGCTAAAATATTCTAAATCTTGATCCAGTTCCACAGTGTCTTAATTCCCCATCGCTGTCATGTCATGAGATGCTTTGATGGTGTGCCAATTGTAGGTATGTATCTTTGCAAGGTTCTTTCTGGTTTTCACCTTCAGTTGCCAAGTTCTAGATTTGCTGCCTCTAAGTAAAGTATTAGCTGGCATCTCAAAACAAAGCCTTCATACAAGCATATCATTCATGAGACAGCTGCAATAACTATAAGGTGATAGTTAAGAAAACAGACTTGAGATAGGCAGTTGGGGGACCACGCCTTTAATCCCAGCACTCGGAAGGCAGAGGCAGGCGGATCTCTGTGAGTTCAAGACCAGCTTGATCTACAGAGTGAGTTCCAAGACAGCCAGGGCTACCGAGAGAAACACTGTCTCGAAAAACAAAGAAGAGAAAAGAAAAAAAGAAAAGAAAGCAGAGTTGGTACCAAGCATGAAGGTCCACACCTTTAATCCCAGCATTTAGGAGGTAGAGGTAGGAGGATTTCTGTTTGAGGCCAGTCTGGTCTACGTAGAAAGTTCCAAGTTAGCCAGGGCTCCGTAGTGAGACCACCTTCAATTTTTTTCCCTTCCTAGCTAACTGAACACTGCAGCCCTTAAAGATGTGACTGGAGTGAAAAATATTACAAATGAGTATGTCCTCAGGACAGAGACTTTGGTTACATGTCCCTAAGCCCTGGACAAGCCCCTGCTACACAGTGGGCCACTGAATAACTTCATTGGAGAATGACTTTAACATTTTTGAGAAAATTAACATCATAAAGGCAGCCCCTGAGAGAATAAAAATGGATGCAAAACCCAGGAGATGAGACCAAGGGAGTCTCCACTGGTCCTGTTCGTAAGCCTGCCAGTGACTGCAAAATGAGGGAGCTGCAGCTGGTAATGGTCCTTGAGGTCTCCCGGTCCAACCCTCCCTGGGAGGGAGAGGAGGAATGTGGGCCAAAGAGGTGCCCACGCAGGGAAATCCAGGTCCTAGTCTCTACCAGTAGGTCTGCAGTGGGCAGACACAAGCCCCAGCAGATCCCTCCCCACTGGAGCTTTAAAGAAGCAGAGGGAGGATTTGGAAGGCCCCAGCCATCACAGGCCTCCTGGCTGACAGCCAGCTTCCCCGGGGGCCTGACAAGCCAGGGCCCATTGAATAGCAGCACATTCCAGTGTGAACCACACTTCTATGCTCCTGAGGATCCTCCACTGCCGGGCACAAAGGTGTTTCTGAGCTCGCACACCGCGCTGACCAACGACCCAGTGCCCCTGATGCACAGCTAAGCAGGAACATGGGTGGGGTATCAACGCTGAGAGTGTTAGAGGCCAAACTAGACAACCAAGGGGCTCTATTGTGTGACGCAAGAAGAGCATTAGCTGGTCACTACTGACACTGTGTAGGAAAGGCTTGCCAGGAAATAAAACTGAGAGGATGAGAGCGAGTGGTGTGGGAAGGGGAAGGGACAAGATACAGGTTAGCCCATCTGCAAATGCTCATGGGAGATGTGTGACTCTAAAATCTCGCTTTTCTCAATTACATACACAGGCTGTCCCTGCCCCCTGCTTATGCTAATTTCCGTAAGTATCTGTCACTTGAAACCCTGACTAATTTCCCAACACATCATGATCGGCATTCAACATGTCAAGAGTCTACCTCTTTTGCCAAGTTTACGCCAACTCCTTAGACACAGTTCTGCTACCTCAGCTGCATTCTGGAAATTTCCTTATCATTCTCTTCTTGGACCCATGATTGTCCTTACATGAAAGTGTGGGAAGCTGTTCATCTCCAGAGAGGGATATCTATAGGGTCTGAAGATTCATGTCACCGTCCACACACACTGTGAGGCAAAGATGGCTTCCATGCTGGTTAGTGTGTTGCCAACTTGACACAAACTGGACTCATTTGGGAAGGTGGGACCTCAGCTGAGGAAATGTCTTCATCAGGGTGGCCTGTGGGAAAGGCTATGCGGCATTTTCTTGATTGATGACTGATGTGGGAGGAGCTAACCCACTGGAGGTGGTGCCACCGTGGGCAGGTGGTCCTCGCTGACAGAAGCAAGCAGGCTGAGCAAGCCATGAGTAGCAAGCCAGTAAGCATGTTACTCCACGGCCTCTGCATCACTCCTGCCTCCAGCTTCCTTCCCTGCTTCAGTTCCTGCTCTGACTTCTCTCAGTGATGGACTGTTACTTCCCCAAGTTACTTTTGGTCATGGTGTCTTATCGCAGCAATAGAAATCCGTAGACACCTCCCTACTTCCAGATAGGACCAGCAAAGGACAGCCACAGAGATGCAAACAATAGGCGGGCACTGTGAGGATGGGGGAGGCTGAGCTTCTCTAACAATGGACCACTAGACAGGACAAGACAGTGGCCGTCTGCTCTGGAGTCCAGCTGTAGAGAAAATAAGTTCATTTTGGCAGAAAGTTCTTTTCTGGTAACCCTGGGTACCCCCTGAGTGAGGTCATTTCCTCCTTCTTACCTTCCTGGAGCTAGTCTCTCCCTCCAAGTTGGGACATTCCCCTTCATCCCTGTCCCATACATCCTACAACCCATCTCAGGAAGCACTGACCAACCAGCCTAAAAAGCTAGGACCACACAGGCCTTCATCTAAGGGGACGAAATGCAAACACACAAACACACGAGATGCTCAGCTATTCCCCAGGTAAGGAGATATTCCAAAACATCCCTTCAAACAAGTCACTGTACGATTTTGATCATACTCGCTGAGGCTCGTCATCTGTGCACCTCAAAGCAGCTTACGTACATCAATCACAGTAGCTGGGGGTGGGTGGAGCCGGGGAGAAGGTCCTAATAACCACCTTGTTTGTACTTCAGATAACTAGAAGGAGTGTGAGCCCCCGCTCCAATCCCACCCACAAACAAGGCCACACAGCTCGACAGGAGCCTGAAGAGGATCACAGGGTCCCTGGTCTTCACTCCTATGTGTATAAAGAGCTCCCTCCCCAGGCTGCCTTCATCATGTCTGGCAGTCACATGAAAGTCAGTCTAAAGATAGCAGGTACAAGAAAATGGCCTCAGTTACTCTGGGCAGATGTGCACCCTTCCCCCCCCCCGGCCTTCCCAGAGTTGGCTCTATATAGTGTTCAGTGCTTTGCTTCCCCGCTGGGTCCCACAAAGCAAGTCATGGGCTTGTTCAGAGCCTCTTGGTGTGTTGAATTAGGTCTGCTTGGGAAAATACATCAAGGGAAAGAAAAGAAGCAAGCATGGGAACCCACATGACCTTGTGGTCTCTTTCTGAATTCTCAATTTTCTGGGCAGAAACACTGTGAGCAACCCCTTTGCAGCATCCTTCGTACTACAGCTGGGCGTCTGTGGCTTAGGGTTCTTTGCTAGCTTCTGTCACTATGACCCTGTCCATGAGTGTGCCGGTTCAGAATCTGTCCAGATCCAGGCTCTTGACTTGCTAAGTAGCCTCTTTAGACATCAGTTTCCATCTGTAAAGCACAGGGAAAAGGAGTGCC